ATGGTGCTGACACCAGAAAACCATTCTATGACATCTTACCTTTACAGAGGTACCAAAAGTTTCTTCTTAAATCTAATAGCTTTGAGGCTATAAGTTATTTACTTTTGTGTGTTTTTGTCAGGCAGAAATTTATTTATACCCCCTGAGGGTGTAAGAGGTTAATGAGAGATATTTAGGTTTTTCCGAGTATGGGACGTTATTTGCGCTATCCATGGTGCTGAAAGTGTTCTCTGTCTTTTGCAGAACGTTTTTCGTTCTCCTCATGATAAGCAGGCAACTATATTATTCCACAAACAAGCCGTAATTCTCCAGTCAATATCAGAAAAAAAAAATCCAAAACAATAACTATAAATTTTAGATAAAAGACCCACTCAGCCAATCAGGATATTTAGCAATCTCACTAGAATTTTTCCAAGCGAAACGTGATCGGAGTTGTCACAGTTAGAGACTTTGGAAGATCTGTGTGTGCTCGCAGTCTGCAGTGCTGGCACACAGGCGCCCCTGTTTTTATGCTGTGTGAAGAAGTTCTGGCGGCGTCCTTTAGTGGAGCCGGTCTGCATTGCGTCGAAACCCTCCAACTCCTCCCCCTCCTCCTCCTTCAGCCCCCCCTGCTTCCTCTTGTACTTGCATGTTAAATGATCAAACCAAACATGCCTGACATTGCTGAGAAACCATGCGGACGTCGATGCCGCACCTGTATGTTTATCGTCTTTAACCTCTAATTGTTTTTTTTTTTTTATCGTGTTCACCGTCCTGCGCCGGAGAGCATCCTGCCCGTCATCTCGTCTTGGGGCAGATTTCTGCTGATGCAGGGATGTCTGGGAATGCCAAGGGCTCGCTTATTGCCCCTTAATGCATCTCTCCGAACTGCAGCGCAACATCTTCTCCTGCGGTTTGCTCATATGCTGTTTGCTCTGCTCACCGCCGTGCCGCTGCCAAAGCACTTAGGGGCTTTGCAGCATAGCAGTTCCCTCTTTTCGCTCCTTTTTCAACCTCTCCTCTTTAGATTACACAGATTTCCCTTTCGGCATGTCTTGTTTTGGAGTACAGATTAGATGATGCCTACTCCAAGGTTCTAGGCTGGTGCAACTTAAAAGTTTCACACATTACCGACCTCTGCTGCTCCGCTGTTGGATGATTCTACTCAAAGCTTTTCAAGACCTCTCAGGATCAAACCACGGTAAGCCTCTTAAACTGAATACAAAAGTTTATGCAGAGCTTTATAGCTTTTTTCTACCTGCAAAACTAACACGCTGCTGCAGTGCTTTTCCTCTGCTTTATCCATTTGCAAATTGCCACTAGCTCTGTAGGGTTAAAGGCATGCAGAAACTGTACAAAAAAAGCTATGCGTCACAATCTACCTCAGACTGGTGAGTGTGGTGGAGGATAAATCACCATAAGACAAAGTAAAAGAAACATTTTTGCAGAGACATGATGAATTGTTACCCCATCACCTTATGAACAACATACAAGATTTGGATTCAAAACAATAATGACAGACACTTCATATAGTTGAAATGTTTTCCCTATAGTAACAGAATTTAAAGTTCTTGTGAATGAGATGTGTTTGCCATCGTTACTAACAGCTCTATTTTCAGCCCAAGGGAAGAAGATGACTAAATAAATAAATAAACTGCAGAAAGTGCTGAGCCAGCAAATATCTCGGCTGTTTGATTCCATTATCCCCTCCGTCCCTCCCTCCATCCCTCCCTCCTTCTCTCTTTGGTTGACAGAAGCAGCAGCAGCGACTGCTTCACATGCACTGGGGAGCAGCAATGGTCAAGTCAGCGAGAGCCGCAGTGGAGCCGCACTGAGGCAAAGCAGCCAACCGACATCTCCCCCCTCCTCGCAACTGGGGACGCCTCCAATGATCTGTGGGGTGTGGGAAGCTGAGGAGTGGAAAAATTTCTCACAACCGTGAATGCCTGGTCAGTCAGACTAACCGACACCCCTGCACAATTCTTGCTCCCCCTATTGCTCCCCTGCATCCTCTACTTCTTCCCCCCTGAAAATGACCGTTGTGGCGGGGGACAACATGGACGAGACCTCTGCCGTCCCAGGACACCCTCAGGACACCTACCCCCCGGACCACAATGACCATGAATGCTGTGAGAGAGTGGTGATCAACATAGCCGGCCTGCGGTTTGAGACGCAGTTGAAAACTCTCTCACAGTTCCCTGAAACTTTGCTGGGTAACCCCAAAAAGCGGATGCGTTACTTTGACCCCCTGAGAAATGAATACTTTTTTGACAGGAACAGGCCCAGCTTTGATGCAATCTTGTACTACTACCAGTCAGGGGGCAGGCTAAGAAGGCCGGTAAATGTGCCCTTGGATATGTTCTCAGAAGAAATCAAATTTTATGAGCTGGGAGTGGATGCGATGGAGAGGTTCCGTGAGGACGAGGGGTTCATCAGAGAAGAAGAGCGTCCGCTGCCTGAGAAGGAGTTCCAGCGTCAGATCTGGCTTCTTTTTGAGCACCCAGAAAGCTCAGGCACCGCAAGAGGGATCGCCATTGTGTCTGTGATGGTGATCCTCATTTCCATTGTCATATTTTGTTTGGAGACTCTACCACAGCTAAAAGATGACCCAAATGGTCGATTTGAGACATTCGGGAACACTACAATCCGCGTCAAAGCAAACATTCTTACTGATCCTTTCTTTGTCATTGAGACTCTCTGTATAATCTGGTTCTCCTTTGAGTTGATAGTACGCTTCCTGGCATGCCCCAGCAAACCAGCCTTCTTCAAGAACATGATGAACACAATTGACATTGTCGCCATTATCCCTTATTTCATTACTCTTGGAACCGAGCTGGCAGAAGACCCGGAAGCGGAGGGAGTGGGGGAGCAAGCAACGTCTCTAGCCATACTCAGGGTGATCCGTCTGGTCAGGGTGTTTCGGATTTTTAAGCTCTCAAGACACTCCAAAGGACTTCAGATCCTGGGGCAGACCCTCAAGGCTAGCATGCGAGAGTTGGGTTTGCTGATATTTTTCCTGTTCATCGGAGTCATCCTTTTCTCCAGCGCTGTCTTCTTCGCCGAAGCCGATGAGCCAGAATCTCACTTCGGCAGCATCCCGGACGCCTTCTGGTGGGCTGTTGTGTCCATGACAACTGTGGGTTATGGAGACATGGTCCCAATCACAATTGGGGGCAAGATTGTTGGATCTCTGTGCGCAATCGCTGGAGTCTTAACAATTGCCCTCCCAGTGCCTGTCATTGTGTCCAACTTCAACTACTTCTACCACAGAGAGACGGAGGGAGAGGAACAGGCCCAGCTCCTCAATGTCAGCAACCCCAACATCCCGTCTGAAACCAACTCCAGCCGCCGTAGCTCCTCCACCGTCAGCAAGTCAGAGTACATGGAGATTGATGGAGACATCAACAATAGCATTGACAACTTTAGGGAGGCAAACCTTAGAACTGGAAATTGCACTATTGCCACTCAGAACTGTGTAAACAAAAGCAAGCTGCTTACAGATGTTTAGACATCAGCTAGGAACTCTTTATCATTGGATCTTATGTGGAGTAGACCATCTGATAGGAATGCTTCATTTAGCTCCCAGAGCGCTCTGCTGGCATTAGGCCTACACCTATCCTCAGTTGGAAAAAAAAGAAACAAAGCTGTTACAGTATATACCAATGTAGATAGAATAATTAATTTTACCAATCTAATAACTAGAATGTTAGGAAGAAATTGATTATTACACATATACACAGCTCCTTAAAGGACACAGAGCACACCCTGTCTTGTCAGATGATGGTGTGATTACTAAAAATCTTATGCATGCACTACAGATAACTGATCAGCAAGCTGCACAATGCACCAGAAATGACTGCAGACATTCAAGCCTCTAAGCCAAGTGGTATCCGCCAAGAAGGTAGATGACCGCCAACCACCAACCCCCCACCCCCTTTTTTTCTCCATCCCCTCTGCCCCTGCAAAGGATCTGCTACTCGGCAAAGCACCTTATCGTAGGAAGACTGCTCGTCTCTCTTGTTTTGGATGTAAACAGATGGTGAACTGCTTGCTTCGCGGACATCTGCAATGCTGCTGTTCTTGCAGCAGCTGCTGTAATTGTGTTATCACCAAGTGATCCGATGCCATGCCCTTTAGATGCATCACAGCACAACTTGCAAAAGTGAGCTTCATGCGAGCATGAATTTAGAGACTTTCCATTTGATACCGGCATGCATAAGGCATATGTCACAAAGTGTGAGGGGGGGTGATAATCTTTTGGATCTCCGCCTCCATGTCTCACTTCTCCCTATGTTGCCATACAGAGTGCACTGGATGAGTTTTTGTTTTTTTCAATTGATAATCATTTAGAAGTATAGAAACTGAATGTTAACTCTTAAAGGAACAGTACATAAATGAGATCATAGCATGAAAAAAGTAACTTGCATTATGGCCTAACCATTAAGGTACCTTTGTATCCTGGTATATTTAATGTACGAATGTATACAGCATGATGTATACAGCTTGTTGCAATTCATGTATTCTGCAGTTCCCTGTCATCAGGGAAACTACAAGATTCAAAAATCTGGGTCTTTCTGAATTGTGATCAAATCTACAGAAATATACCATTGAGGCTGTGGAGTTTCCCATTTAAAAGTAGACAAAGAAAGTTACTAAATAATGTTGGTTAATGCATATAATCACAATAAGCACCAGTTACAGTATTAGTCAATAGAACAGTGCATGGAACTTTGAGAACAACAGCGAAAAAAGTTCATATATTTTCAGTCATACTTATTTCTTTCTTCCACCATTAAGTTTAGTAGAAGTTAGTCAACAGAAAAGAATCATGTTTCATGGACGTATTCGGAGATTAGTTTCCAGTGCCTTTTATCCCCACCAACAACAGGATCAGTGAAAGTGCCTCATGCAAATGGTGTTTGGGTAGATCCCGTCTATGTCAGTGTTAAACACTGTTGGGGTTGATTTTAGTGATACCAGATGAGTAAGGTTTTACACAGCAGGTGACTGTGGTACATGCACAACCAAATTTTCATGCTGGCATGCATTTAATGATGCCATTAAGCAGCAATGGATTGTTCTCTGCATGTTTACCATTTTTATTTAAAAGAGTCATACATTCACTCCTGTTTTACTTCTTTGTGCACCGTGCATCCTTTCAGGGTTTCTACCTCAGCGAGGTCATTGCAAACTTGCGGAGCTGAAGGCTTCAATGCAGGGCTTCCAATACCTGTACCTACACATGCAAATATCTACACATGCATGCATTTATATACAGTATATATATATAGACTATATATATGTATACATTATATATACAGTATATATATATATATATATA